ATACTCTATAATGTACTGACTTTCAGCCAAAATGTTAGAATTAACTTACCTAAATCAAAACAAATGTAATATACAGTTCAAGATTTTACTTTAAAACCTCCCTGACAGTAACAAGAAATCTAAACCAAGTAGTCAACAGTATTAATGACAACATTCTTTCACATGCTTCTCTAAACTCCCAAAACACTTTATAAGTGGCAGGCATTCTAACTGCTTTACACACATCATTGTACTATTCTCTGAAATCCTTGGCTAAGTCCATTTTACAAATATAGACACTAAGGCTTATGCCTGTGAAGAAGTTTGCCTATACTACAGAGCTAAGAATAACAAGAAACAGGATAGATAAACCCAGATCTGCTGGATTCTTCTAAATCTCCTGTGCTTACTGCCTATCCTGTATGAAATTCACTTTTGTACTCACATCTTTTCCTCTTCACTAGCTTAGGTTGTCTTCCTGTCTTTGTCTCTTCCAAATCCCATGAATTTTAACCTTTTCCCTCCTAACATAAAACTCAAGGTGAAATATATTCCCAGAACTAACTTCCCTCCGGGACTGCCTCAATTTAGGCCTTCATCAAGACAATGATCCCTCTAGGCACCTCTCCCTCTAAACCTATTTAAGAATTTAGAACAGAAATAAAGTTAACTGTTGGACAGCTACTGCTACCAACCATATTAGTTAAGCAGAAGAATTAAACCGCTTTATTCTCCTAATAAACGAAGACCAAAGTCCAGATACCATGCGCATTAGAAACTGAAGGTTTTAACAACTTGATCAAGCAATGAGAAATGCTGAATGAACTAAGGAGTATACAAGTTAGCTATTTTAATTATGCAATCAAGAAGTATGCAGTGATCTATATGCTGGTTATTATCAAAATTAAGTAAGACTGTAGACGTAAGGTCTAATCTCACAGAATTACATACAGGGTGAGAAAAAAATACACAAAAATTAAAAGACTATAATAAGCAAGTTAAAACAAGTGCTAAGGAACTAAAAATAAATACATAAATAAACATTAAAATCAGTTAATTAAAATGTCTCCTTAAATATCAATAAACCTTGAAAACAAACCAAGTAAATATGCATGGAATGGTAACAGTCAATAACATTTCTAACCCCAATCGAAACGGGAGATGGTTGCTGAGAGATAGTACAGGTTTTGTTTTTTCCCCAATTCTTAATATCGTCCTTGAATAAGGAACATATATACATATTTAACTCTTCTTGGCAAGATGGCTATGCTCTTTATAGAAAATAACTAATCACATGACATGAAAGGCAAAAGAACAACAAAACAAGACCTAATGATCTTGTGTTTAACCCTTAATTGTTCTAAGAAAATACTAACAGCGATGAACTGCACTAGAACTATTAACTTTATGTAAAAATATATTGACATATGTTTATATATTTACATACGGCTTTAAATGAAACCTAAGCATTCTCAAAATCTATTTTTAAAAACTGCAGTAAAACTATAGATTACTGAAGATTCACATCCTCCATGAAAACAACCACCAACTTAAAAGTTTCACTAACATCTAGGCATATTTACACACAGTGACACATGCATGTTTCTACACACTTTTTCTGCTGATTGTTTTACACGTGCCTCTTCCCCAGTTTCCCTCTCTCATGCCCACTAAGGGGGATGAAATTCTACTGGAGTCTTTTTGCCTTGATCCCACCAGCACTGGTTTAATTCATACCCTCATCATATTTCATGGAGCTTATTGTAAACATCTATCTGACCTCCTTTGCCTCCAATCCTTCAATAGTGACTCCACCTTTCTCCTTGAACTTTAAAAGTCAAATCTGATCTTGTGGTATCCCACTAATCAGTGCAATATTTCCTCAACTGCATCTCTCTTACATCCACATCTATGAAATATGCATTGTTATTTAAGGGGATAGAGAAATGGCATCCTAAAAGAGCTCGACTTAATCATAACTCACAGAATATGGGCCAAAAATTGAGGGGGAACCTATTAACATTTCCAACGTGCTTCAGGATCACCCTATTAGAAAACAGTGAATTTCAGCAGTGATTCTCAAACTGTGATGTAACTTAGTCTCTGTTAAGCTTGCTAAAAACAGAAATGCCCAAGTTCCACCTCAGACCAACGAATCTGAATATTATCTAGGAATCTGACCTAGCCATACACATTTGTAATAATCTCCCAATGATTCCAACGCATATGTAAACCTGAGAACCCTTCTTGCTCCGTAACATACCATCAGCAGGTCCCCTGACTTCCCAAGCTGTTTCATACTTCTCACACCCTGGGGGGAACAGTCAACCCTCCGAATTTCTAGATATGAAGGACTGACTGACAGGGACTCGAGCATTCAATGACGACTATACTCTCTAGACTTAAATATTCAAGTACTGACCATTCTAAAAAGCTTTTACTCATCCTCTTTTGTGATCTCCTAAACCTTTATAAAAATAACAGCATCCATACATTTATGGACAGTCCTTCTGATACACACAACCACCCAATGTGATGTATCCCTATTCTAGAAATGAGAAAACCAATTCTAGGACAGGGGGCTTAAGAAACTTATCCAAATTGACACTATGAATTTAAACCCCGGACTGCTGATTACAAACTCAGGATATTTTCCATTGTAACATGCAGCGTCTTAACCAGTCACTGTGAAGTACTGATATACTTAGCACTTTACACATTAGTTTCCCTATCTAGATTCAGTAAGCTACCTTAGGGGACACATCAACTCTGATTTTGACGTCAACAATTAGCCACTCAATACTAATTTGCTGAGTGAAAGCAGGAATGAAACTCTTTAGGACTATAACTACTCCAGCTTCATTTTCTTGAGAATTCTTAAGAGCTCTGAATGCACTTCTTGCTTAACAAATTTGGTCTGACCTGTAAATCTCACTGCATGATTTTTTTTTAAATGAGACAAAATATTTCAGTAATGCACAAAATACTGCACAGTCAGCAAAGGGGGATGAGGGGGAAACTGTTCCAGAAAATTAAGATCTCATTCTTTACTAATAATTGGAAACTTCAAATATTAATCTTTGTAACTATTTCATACAACAAGAGCAGGTAACTCCAACAGTGTGGTTCTAAATGACAGAAATCCATTCCTTATCTATCGCTATATTCTTACATGTCTGTCATTTCTTTGACACCAGTAAACATTATAGGAAATGCAGAGCAATTAGTCAGTATGCTTGTGTATAAATGTGATGTCCCTCCCTGCCTAATGTGTCTGGTATGTAACACATAGTACAACTACTTCCTTTTCTGAGACAGATTATATAACATAAGTAGTATACCAGAAAAAAATTTTTTAAAACTTTTCATTTGCAGATAATGTCACCTTCAAATTGCTACAGATTTTCCTAAATTGAAAATATGAACAAATTAGGGCTGCTTTAGGAATCTTAAACTTTAACTGTATCAGCTTCTGGTGAAAAAGAAAAGTGATTATTCCTTTAACACCACTTTTAAAGAAATCAGTAACAAGTAAGAAAAAAACTTCTAAAACAACATGATGTAGTGGAAAGTACAACACAACAGGCACCAGGAGTCCTGCTTTTCTAGTTCCGGTTACATTACTAAATTGCTGTGAGACATATGGCTCACCGGCTCAGTTATCTTTTTGTTTAAAAAGTATGTGGGGAGAGTGAAGAGGGGGCTTGACTGTCTTCACAGTTCCCAAGTCCTGATTTTAATCCACCTCCCTCATTTTATTCTAATCAGGTCTAACTTCTGAAATATGAAACACATCTGCACGGAATGTAATGATTCAATCTCCTACCAGGTGGAACAGGATACAAAGGGTAAACTCCTAGAAAGTTAACAATCCAGTAACTTCCCAGAACTTGTCTAATCCTAACTTCTTAAACAAGCAGGAGCAGTCTGGGTGACACATTTAACATCAGGAAGGAAAGCTGTAAAAGGTACGGCTCTGTTGACATCTCCCTCGGTGGTTCCGGGGTATCAGTGGCACAGACTCTGCAGTGTTAACCAGTCAAGTGGGGAGAAAGGGACCCGAACACCGTTTCAACAGTCTCAACCACAGCTCAACTCGGCCACCCCAGTAAGATGCAGGCTGACAAGGCCTACCCCACAGAGCACAACCTCCCCACCCCCAGAAGCGCCAGCAGCCAATGTAATGAATGCTTCCGTCAACAACACATTCCCCTTCCCACAGCAGAGCTGCTGGCTCCAACCGGCCATCTGGAGTTGGAAAAGGCCGCACAGCACCGACCTAAGACTCATTCCCAGATCCCAAAAGGCCAAGAACTGCTGGAGATCGCGGTTCCCCTGAGCTTGGTTCTGGGAGAGCAGCATCTCCCACCAATGCAAACAAACAAACAACAAAAACAGTGGAGAGGAGAGAGAAACCAGGCCTGAGCGAGACTGCTGGAGAAATAAACCTCGTTCCTCTGCAGTGGGGAGCAGTAGCATTTCCTGCCCCCCGTTCTAAACCGATGCACTCGACTTCACTCCTTCCTGAGATCCTCAAGGGAGAATAAAAGACGACCTTACGGTCCGATTCATTCATATCTGGAATTCGGTCCCCGACCCACCCACTCCTGAAACCAATGGCATTGTGAAGGAAAGTGCCCCCACATCGGGGTCGTAGGACGAGAAGCGAGGGCCAGTCCAGGAGCCCAGTAACTAGGATCAAGCAGCTCCTGTAAAAAGATCCCCGCGAGGCCTGACAGTAAAGTTTGAACCAGCAGCAGAGGCACGGACCCGGGTCCAAGCGAGCAGGGCTCCAGCACAGGCCTGCGGACCTGACACTTCCCTGCTCCCGGGCAGGTCCGGGAGGCGACCTCCGGCCCGCACTGCCCGCACCCAGGGAGCTAGGTCAGAGAGAGGCCTGGCCGGCAGTCCGACCCTCCCCGCGCCGCTCCCGCCTCCTTCCCAACTCCCACTTCCCGGCTCTCCCTCCTGGGCCCGGGAGACTAAGGTCGGGGGCGGCGATGCGGATCTCGGCCACTGACCACACATTTCTTGCCGAGGAAGGTGAAGAGGGACTCGTTCTCCTGCGGGGTGAGCAGCAGGGACCCCACGTTGGTGACCCTCCGCGGCGGCGGCGGCTGCTGCTGGCCGGAGCTCATGGTTTCGCCGGCGGGGTAGGGAGGCCAGGGCCGTCTCCTCCGGCGAGTGGGCGAGCGCTCGTTCCCCTTCTGGGTGACAGGGGCGGGAGGAGGGGAATCAGAGGCGTAGCATCTCGCAGCTCCTCCGGCGCAGGGACGAGGCCACGGAAGGAGGAGCCGACGGCGGGCCGCGGTGAGAAAGGGGAGCTCCCCGTTCCCGCCGGGGTAGGCTCTGGCCGGATGGTCGTTGTCCTCGCACTCCGGCGACTGCGCTAAACTCCCAACTCCTCCCCCAACCTTCCTTCGGCGGCAGTGGCGGCGGCGGCGGCAACGGCCTCACAATCCAACATGGCAGCGGGGTACGGGCGAGACCACAGGACGCTAGACGCGGGGGAGCGCGCCGGAAACGCGCGGCTGCGGGCCGGGCCCCGGGAGGAACCCCACCTCCCCACGCCGCGCCTGGCTTCGCCTAGCCGGCCCGAGGCCACGCCCACTTCCGGCCGAGCCGCGGGCTCTGCGCGCTCTGCGGTCGGACGCGGGGCTGTGGGTCCGTTGGAGGCTTTGGCGTCCGAACTCGTTCCTTGGGCAGTCGTCTTTTACAGAGGATTGAAGAGAGGAGGTGGCTCGTCTCCGCCGCCGAGCTGTCATCCCCTCCTCTGAGACGCACACCTTTGCGGAGCGTCAGTGCAGACCCAGGTCTTCGTCCTCGAAATAGCTTTTATTTCTGAGGCGCGACTGCCAAGATTTTCGAGCTCCTGTCAGAAAGTTCTGGAAGCTGGAGACGGAAAATGGGAGAAGGGACGCCCTTCCCTGTGTTCCTCACCAGTTCGCTCAGAGCCGCAGGTGCCTGCGGTTTCTCAGACTTTGTCCCAACTTCAACAGTGGGAATGGACGAACAGGCCTCTGCCAGGATTGTGAGAGACCTTGCTGATGGACGTTCCTAAAAAGCCAAGGCCCTTAGAAAAGGTTTCTACTGCCCGCTGGATTTCTCAAAGGGATTAATAAATGTATTTGTAACATTGCAGTTCGGGCTCGTTTCTCTATGGGTCCTCCACACATTTCCCCTGCTGTTTTATGAATTGAAAAATATTTCTTTTTCTCCTCCTCGTGTTTTTCTTTCAAACTCCAAAGGCCTTGTTTTCTTTTTATCCAAAATGAAGGTACCCATGTAGAGATGTCACTCAGAAAAATACATCATCTAACTTAGTCCTTATGTCAGGTGAGTGTATGCTCCTTGGTTCTTGTCTCGTCACACCAAAGATTTGGAGTGAGGCTTAGAAGTAAATCTCAGGAATCTTTTAAAAATTTACATTCAATATTGGAAACTACCTAGGGTGACTCTTTGTTCAGTGGATTAAACACTAGACAGCTGTCTTTGAATCAGTTCTAATGAGATGGATGAAACTGGAGCCCATTATACAGAGCGAAGTAAGCCAGAAAGATAAAGACCATTACAGTATACTAACACATATATATGGAATTTAGAAAGATGGTAACGATAACCCTATATGCAAAACAGAAAAAGAGACTCCGATGTATACAACAGACTTGTGGACTCTGGGAGAAGGCGAGGGTGGGATGTTTCAAGAGAACAGCATCAAAACACGTATATTATCTAGGGTGAAACAGATCACCAGCCCAGGTTGGGTGCATGAGACAAGTGCTCGGGCCTGGTGCACTGGGAAGACCCAGAGGGATGGGTGGAGAGGGAGGTGGGAGGGGGGACCGGGATGGGGAATACATGTAAATCCATGGCTAATTCATTTCAATGTATGACAAAAACCACTGCAATGATGTAAAGTAATTAGCCTCCAACTAATAAAAATAAATGAAAAAAAAACAAAAAACAAAAAACGAAGTTTGGTAATATGGAGATGATAAATAATACATACTGCTGAATTACAGAATAAACATCTCCACTTTAAACAAATGAGCATTTATTGCATAAACATTACTTAGCATCATGTTTGCTTATTATTAAACAAAAATCGTATGTTAAACTCAAGACATCTATAGGTTGACAAATGAAAGTTGGTAAAACTATTTGATTTTAATATTTCCGAAAGCTACAAATCATGGGTGTACTAAACAGATTGTTAAGCCATTATCAATACTCTTTAAAAATATTATTAAAAAATTAAAATGAAGGCTGCATTAATGAAATTGAGTGGAAATAAATCTAAAAGGAAAATGTAATCATAGTTCTATGAGTCCTTACATAAAATATGGATATGTCAAAGTTACCTTGGTTCAGTGTTAGGGAAAAAAGTGATTTTGAGAAAGCAGGCAGACTTTTTGTAAAATAATTAGGTTTATAAAGGCAGTACAAATATAAACAAGGAGTTGCTATTGAACTTCAGAACTAACAAACTTAGAAGCTGAATCAGTTTGTCTTATATCAAAAGTGAGATTTCTATAAATTAAAGCCACCGTGACAGTGGAAAGCATTATAAATTACTGAGAAGTAGAGATTAGAGCCCTAATATTTACCAACCTGTGAACGAGGATAATAACAAAAGTATAGACTTTAGATAGTCCAATTGGAGTTCTTTTTCAGCCATTACAGCCTTATGGACTTTGGCCAAGTTGCTATTCTGAGTTTGTTTCCTCATCCATAAAGTGAAAATAATTTTTATTTAATAAAGGTGTAGAATAAACATAATTAAACCTACTTCAGAGTTATAAAATATACCAAGATAGCATGTGTAAAGAACCCGATACAGAGTGGTTAGTCGAATACTATTTGTCTTATTGATGATCGTTGCCTGGTCTGCTCTGCCTTCCCTTAGCTAAGGGAACTAGCATTGAGTTGAAGTGTATATTTTTACCTTTCTTGTATCCAGGCCTGGAAAACTACCCTTCATATTTGGGACTCTGTGTAATTCTTCAAATACATAGTGGTGAATTTGGGACATAATTTCTTTGTTAGACTTTCTAGTTAGGCTATATATTGTGCCACATAGGTTATATATGTCCCAGTAAGCTGAAATTATAAGACTTTAAAAAATGATAACTCTAGAGACAGGATCATACTAGTTTCTAAATAATAAAAAGGATAGAAATTTTTATGCCTGCCTACCAGCTTTTAAAACTTGTAGATTATCAACCTTTTGAATATGGGAGAGAGAGATGTGAAAAAGGACTGTGAAAAGAGAAGATACAGGAGAGAATAGGTGATTCCACAGTAGCTATAAGTTGTGGAATCTATGCTTTGGTGAGAACTATGGGCTCTGATCTTTTCACCATCTCCTTAGCCTAGACTATTTATGTTTTAATTTTTTTTTCCCTTTCAGAACATTTTCAACGTCTTATTTCTAAATGCAGTTTTCTGACTATTTGCCCTTCTTTTTTTCTTTAGAAATGAGAATGGTAAATTATAATGACCATAGGCTTTTGTCTCAAGCCCAAAACATTTCTTTAGCTTTTCCTCCAAAGTATAAGTATGTTTTGTCCACAAAATTGCAATTTAAGTATTTTCTACCCTTGCATTGTTATTTTTGCTTCCCTCTAGGTTTTTTCCAACTCTTTGTTCTTAAAATGTGAAAAACATAAGGGTGAACACTGCATTGGAAATAGGACTTCCTTACTCTCATGAGCACGTGAGAAAGCAATATTTGAATTTTCCTCCTTTAGCATGCATACGACGATTCTGTTTTTCCATATTCATCCTGAGACCAAGTAGTACCAGCTATATTTGTTTCAACAGTTTTAGCAAGTCCCCTTCTTTCTTTCATTCTTGATAGCATATCCTCTTTTTGGCAGAACACAAGACATCTTTCTCTCTGTTTTCTTTGGCAAGTTATTTTCTTATCTCAAATTCTTTTTACCCAGTTTGAGAGACTGGATTTGATCCAGGAAATAAGAAGGATTCTATTTCCCTTCAACTAAGTGTCTTGAAGTTTGTAACCTAGGTTAAGAAGACTGGGGATTTTATCTTCCTGTATGTATAAAATGCATAAGCTCTCTTAAAATGTCTATGAATATCACTAAGAATAAGGCAGTTTTGTCTAATATTTCCTATTTGACTGTCCTTGACTCAATTAGAATCTATTTTAAATTTTATTTTCATCTTGCCTTGCTAAGATCCTTTAAGATTAAGTCCTCATTTTAACAGAAAACATTAGGGTAGCTTACTTATGAAAACAAGGGCATTTTTTCCAGGTGCATTCCCTGTCATTATCTTTATATTTTGCCAGTTTCTCCTGTCCTGCTGCTCTGTTAATCCACTTCTTTACAAATGTCATTGTTGATGTACTGTTGCAAGTCTTCTGAAACACCCTGTTCCTTTTGCTGATGTTAATTATTTAAAGATGTAGTGACACCCTTCCTTGTAAAGGACTGTGCGGGTAGCCGCACACAGGGATCTGTGGCATTCAGCAGCCATTGTGGTCTTAAGTACCAGTCCAGGGTGCTGCTTTCCCATGGCAGAGTCCCAGTTATAGCGACAGAATAGCAGTAAACTTGGATACTGCAGGGGTGATGAATATCATTTCCCTCGTGCAACCTCCAAGTGCCATGGCTTTAGGATTTCACATAAAGTATCTCTGCACATTTATGTGAATGTTGATTATAGCAGTGTTTAAGAGAATTTGTTCTTGTTCTCCCAAGTTAAATGTTTCCTTTTTCCTCAACTAAAATCTTGATAGATAAGCTAGCAAATGATTTCCCCCTCCCTTCCTTTTTAAATTCATTTTGAGTACAAGCCTTTCTGGGGCTTACTTTTTTAGAAATAGCTTATGTACAACTCATTCAGATTCTTTATTGATCTTTGTGGAAAACAATTCTAAATTGTGCTAGTAAATTATCGGTGATAGTTACTACCGCTGGTCTCCAGATACCTAAAACATAACCTTTATTCAAGAAATGATTTCAACGTATGTTATAGTATGTATGTACAGTAACTATAGTATAGTATGTATAGTAACTATGTATGGTATAGCTCCCAATATGCTACTTACTGTTCTTTTTTTCCCCCACTGCTCTTTTACTTTAATGAATATTCAGTGGTTCTCAGTTGAATT